TGTAAGGCTGCAGAGATCATCTGTCCCCCCAAATCTGTTAGTCAAAGTTATCAGAATATAGAAGATATAACCATGCATAGAAATATCTTGACCTGTTGTTATACAGCTGCATTCCATGTGATTGCCCCTAAAGATATATTATGTGAATATGCATGAATATGTACGTGTATTTTATGTACTGGCATGCATACCTAGTATTTAGAATTATAGCAGTTCAGCTATTTCAGCAAAAATTATGACTGCCACCAACACCCTTCACATGTCCTCTTCTTGTCCGTGCTCCTTTCAGCTGCAAAATCTGATTTTTTATGATCTTGGTGGTCCTTTCCAACCAAATGATTCCATAATTCTATAGATGTGGCATTTAGGGGATGTTTTAGTGTGGAGTTGGCATTGCTGGGTTAATAGCTGGACTTGATGGTCTTAGAGGTCTTTTCCAACCCAAAGGATTTTATGATTCTGTGATGTGTAAAATGTATGGAAGCAGTTCCCACTCTTATTTACAGCATTCCTTTCTTCCAGCAATGCTCTGGGCATTGTGAGCAGGAGCAGGAGGGTTTCCCAGAGGGTTTCCCTCCCATTCAGGAGGTGCTCAGGACTCAGGACAGGGCAGATTTGGGAGAGAATGTACTGTGGCCTCAATAAATCTCCAGAGAGAAGCTTTGGAAATTATGCAGGCTGCATCAGCACCTCTGCATTCTCAGCTCAGCCCCAGCAGCACTTTCCCTGGAGCTCTGAACATCCCCTACGAGTGAAAAATACTTGTATGTGTCTCTGGGTAGCTGTGTCAGACCTAGCCAGTTAAATTTCCTGTTTTGCAACACTGAAAGTTTTGTTTTTATTTAATTGCAATATGTGAAATGAACCTCAGAATCATAGAATGGGTTGAGACACCTTCCACTAGACCGGGTTGCTCAAAGCTCCATCCAGCCTGGCCCTGGGCATTTCAGGGATGGGGCACCCACGGCTTCTCCGAGCATCCTGTTCAGTGCCTCACCACCCCCTGAGTAAAGAATTTTTTCCAAGCATCTGATCTTGTCCTGAGTGAATAATTACCTCTCTCTGCACAGTGAACTACAGTTAATAGGGATAAAGTATAGTACATTAATCTCTGTATTTATGAAAAAAGACACGTTGTTGTGGAGAATCTGGGAGGTTTTGTTTTCATTCTGTACATTCCTTATCACATTTATAAGCAGCAAACAAGCTCAGAAGTGTGTGTGGGAAATGTCAAATTCAACATCCCTTAAAGGCTTCCAGGATTTCGTATTTTCTGAGGAGTATAAACCACAATGTAAGAGGAGTTGAGAGTTTCACCCTTCAAATGCAGTGAGTGATGGCTCATGGAAGAGAGAATAAGTTCAGTTCATCATATCCCAGCCTTTAAGTCCCAACCAGTGCAGTTCCCTGCCACACTGAAGACAACAAGATCTTCCCAAGCTTATGAATATTGGTTTATTTTATCCACCATTTGTGTACAGATTCTGTAACGCACAATTTGTCCTGAGTTTTGGGGTGAGCACCCGCTGCATTCAACCTCTTGGTTAAATTAACTACCTATTAGCTTAAATTTGGAAAGAGAACAAGTGGTTTGCTCACATTTTAGTGGTAGAACCACTGTCTTTTAACTGCACTCTGCACTGAAAGCACGAGCCAGCTCTGTCCTGTGTCCACCTCAGAGAGCAAATCCATTAAGCAATTTTCTGCATTTCAGAAATGGACTGTTTTCTATAAATTATGTAACTCTGTTGAGTATGTCTGTAAACTGGGGTTTGAACTCTAAGTAGAGACAAGGACAATTAACTGCAAAAGGTAATTTTGGAACAGTACATTGGGTAAATTACAATGTTACTAGAAAACGCTCTGTATTAAGGAAAACATTTTAAAGCACCTTGTTTTATAAATTATACCAGCTGTGTTATGTATTGTAGTTAATTTTAATTACATAAAAATATGTAGAATCAAAAGCAGCTCAATGGGATGCAGTTATAACCTTTCTAAGAGATGATTCCATTATAGAGACATTTGCTAGAAAATAAAAACAGAGAAGGGCAGATAAGGACTTGCACATTTTATTTCAAGTTGCATGAGAAATGTTAGATATGTTTTACTGGATACAATACCAAAAGCAAAAATGGAAATAGAGAAATAGGGCCTCTGACCCTTAAAAGTAATAAGGTTGGATAGATTACCCCTCTGGTCTGTGTTTCCACAATAGAATGAAGCAAAATGATAAAAGTCCTTAAAAGAAAAAATACAAAAATTCATTACTTTTTTTAGGCCAAAACTATTACATCCCTAACCTTCACCAAGGGGCTGCTCAAGGTGCCTGAAATCAATAGCCACTGACTGATTTGAGCTCCATTTTAATAACTGCTAAAATACAGAGCTGGGAAGTCTCTGGGGCTCTGAAACAAAAAATACCCTTTGTACCCCTGTTCCTGCTTCAGGATTTGAGGTGCCAGCAACAAACCACCCACCGTGGTCCTTGCCCAGCCCATGGCCAGGCAGCAAGAGGCAGCTTTGGAATGTTTCAATGTGTTTTCTGTTGCCTCTTCTCACAGCAGCCAGAAGTTCCACACCTGAAAGCAGATCTCCAATCTGCACCCATGCTGGGGTTCTGGTTGGGTCAGAAGTGTGATTTTCAACCTGGTGTCCTCATCCTCTTCTCCTGCTTGAGTGTCCAGCACGGGTGTGGGGCATGTGGATTCCTTTCAGAGGAAAGAAATCTGGGCTAAGCCAGAGCACTCCCGGTGCATGGAGCTCTTCTGTCTGTGGCACTGGACTACAGCTAGTCCCAAATCCTCAAACAGCTGTTCTGCTGCACTGCCCACCAGTGCAGTGTAGCCTTCAGGTGTAAATTTCCCCTCTGGTTGAAGGTATTTATACATGTAGGTGTCTCAGGTGTCAAACCCTCTCTTGCTCAGCAAACATTGAAATACAGGCTTAAAACTAAGCTTCTACTTAAATGGATGAATTTGGGTTTAGAACTATACTTTTGGATGTGTTTAAGATTTAGAGGTGGTTATTTAAAGGTTAAAAGTCTCAGTGTGGCTTTTGGCGGGTTTTCCAGAAGGAATGTTACCACTGACACTGAATTAAGAATGTTCAAACATCCTCTAAAATGTGGCCCTAGGGCCCTGGAAGTTGGGTCCTGCCTCTCACTGTAGAGCAATGAGGATGAAAGAACCTAGATGTCAGAAGGTTTTTGTAAGAGCAGGACTCCTAAATCACTTGGGAACAGACACCTGAAATACTCAATCACCTGAACATTAGTTAAGTGCTCATTATATTGGGTAGCCTTTGAAAAATCCATTACTTGTATCTTCAGCTACAAGGAGACCTTTACAATCTGGCTCTTACACTTTGTGACACTTCACAGAGCAATCTATAAATACCTGAAAAACCTGGGGCTACTGCTAAGGATGCTCAAGTACCTCAGCTAATTTTAAAACTTTTCCCCTTGTTAGTTTTCATGGCTGGGAGCTTGCGTTGGGATAATTGGGAGCGTACGACAGGTTGTGAAAAAAATCATCTGTGTCCTGGGAACCTCTGCCTAAGCAGTACCTTTAACAAATCTGCCCTGCTGTTTTCCAGGTAAAGGTGACGTGTTTGGTGATATCTTCTGGAAGGAAACCAGCCTGGCCCACGCCTGTGCCAACGTTCGGGCTCTGACCTACTGCGATTTGCATATAATTAAGCGAGAAGCCTTGCTCAAGGTGCTGGACTTTTACACTGCTTTTGCAAACTCCTTCTCCAGGAACCT